AGAAATAACATGCACTGATTAGAAAAACTACAAAAGAAAAAAATTCAAAGAAGAAAATGAACCAGCTCAAGACATTTTAACATTCTGTTTATACAAGAGCAATTTATATAAAGACGCATCCTTCTTGCCCTGATTCTGTTGAATGCATACATATCGATTTCTGTTGTTAGTATAATACTGTGTGTGAGGCCAGGGATTTAGCTCAGTGGTTCCACGACCTGCCTCTCAAGCGCAATGACCCGAGTTTGATGCCTAGTACCAAAACAATAAAATAATAATAATAATTAATAATAATACTGTTTGTTCAGGGCCTTATCCTCACTTCATGGCTACAGCACAGTCTACCATGCCCTGCCCCATCAGCCTATCATTTACCAACACCCCATATATTCTGCATCTGAGGATGCCCCAGTCTTCCCTAGACACACTCACTCGTGTTCACAGCTGAGAAATGCATCGGGCAGAGCCTCCACTCTGGTAAGGGAGTGCGATTGGCTTCATTTGCAGGCCACCTTTGTGTGATGTTTTACAATTTTAATAAGCTGCATTTTTTTATTTTATTAAAGTAAAATGAGTTCAAATACTTAATTAGTCCTGAGACCAACATAAGTTTTATAATGAATTCAGTGATGAAAAATGGCTTTCGTTTTATGTCATCAAGACAAATGTTGTCCTGAAAATTGTAAGAAGAACTAAAATATAATAGTAAGGCTGAAATATATTATTGAGTATGAAAATCCAAGATGATGAAGCAATAGAAGGATTTAGCAATGTACATAATGAAAATTAGAGGGAAATGCTACTGTGAATCTTGCATGAAGTCAGGAATAAATCAATTTGCATGTAAATGGCAAAGCCACTCTCTCAGGAAGATGTGCAAATGTCCCACATTCCCAGAGTTGATGACTGTGGATAAAGGAACCCTTTCTGTTAATTACTATACTATTGGACTTGCAGAAGGACAGTGTTAGTTAGGAATCATGTGGTTTGTACAGATTCAGGGTACTTCTGAGATCTAAATGCCAGTCTTCAGCTGTGTGACTGACAGGTAACCCTGGGGTTTCAGCCAAATGAGGGGGCTCTGAATTTCTATATCAGTGTCACTCCGTACGATTTGATTGGCAGACACTGTGAGGAATGCTTTCTTACCCATGATTTTCTAACATTCAACGCAAATCAGGTCCTGTGCAGTGCTGTTCATGACAGCTGAGCCATCCTTGGAAGTAAGAATGCCTTCACAAGAGCAGCTGTAGCTTAATAAAGAGTTGAAGATCCCTTTCTACATGAAAATGGTATAGTTTAATAACTAAGCATCACGTTTCATTTGTGGACCTCATTTACCTCTTTTTTTTCTCTCTCTCATCTATCTCCCTACCATCTTCTCTCTCTTGGATTTTTCTCATTGTAATTTGTCTTGCCTTTGAGTGACTTTTTATTTTATTTCAAATGTCAGTTCCATACCTATGCAAATCTTGAAGTAGATTTGGATATTGTGATGCATGAATATGAGACCAAGACTCAGATGTATTAACCTATCCATCAAACTACTCCTTTGTCGCGCATTTATGTTGAATACATTGCTACTCATTTCATTTTTTCACAAATAGTACCTACATTTTAAATTTAAAACTCTCTAAGTGCTATGTTTTATTATTTCATTACCCCAACTTGACTAGAGGTAACTAACAAAACAAGGTAACAACAAAAATAGCAGCATTAATTCTTACACACTCACACATTCGCACACACAGTGATTTTGCCTTCTTGTGTGGGCATCTGGAGTGGAGACTAGTGATTCCTGTAAATTGCACTGTGGGACAGGGCCTAGTAGAAGGAGCAACATGGAAGTCACATTGTCTTTGCCTGTGTCTCCTGTTCAGCCTCTGTCCTGGTAGGAGAGGCCATTTCCTGCAGTCTGGAGCTGAGCTCGGCCCTCCATGGTCACCTCTGTCCTTTGCCAGGTTTGTACTTGGGGAGCCTGGATCACAGCTACCCTCATACCCTATGTTGCTGGGATTCAGGGTGAGGGGTAAACATGATGTCTGCATAATCTCTGCCCAGGTTCCAACCATGGTCTCTGGGCCTGATTCCCTGGCCGAGCTCCTGGATGATTGGATGCCCTCTGTTTATGCGCTGTCCTGGTTACTCCAAAAGCCAACAATAGAGCAATAGCCCACTAGATCATATTATGCTCTTATAATAACTATATAAATGTTTTCCTCCCTATGTACTAATTAAGTGTTTTAACTCTCATTTAATTAAAATTAAAGAATGTGTTTATCTTGAATGTTGTCTGCAAAATCCTACGTTCTATCAACAGAAACGATATAACTACAACTGATACAAGGTTGAGGGACTTTGCTCAGTGATGCCGCTGCCTGCCTCATAACTATAAGGTCTGGAGTTTGATTCCTGATGCACATAAATAAATAAATAAATAAATAAATAAATAAATAATTGCAGAGGGGATATACCCCACAAATATATGAAATTACTAAACATTATCTAATGAGAGAAGAGCCAAAACAATATATTGAGCAAAAGAATTTATTAAACTCCTTATCATGAGAACAAAGAAAGACAATCAAGAATAAATACAAATAATAGATTTTAGAAAATATCAATATAAGAGCAAAAGAATTAATGATTCTAAGTAATATTGTTATAAGTAAAGTCATAATTTTGTCACTGGTTCAAAAAGTAGAGCAATGAAGGATATATTTACATATTTGGATAAATTACTAAACAGTTTTAAAATATTAAAACACTAATGAAACTTAATCCTTAGAATAGAGATGTTGTACTTTAGGCATCAAAAATATGGTAATATGTTTTTACAAAATATTAGTGATTTTTATGATCACAAATTAGGAGCACAATCATCAGTATAATAATTGTTCCTCAAGATTAAATAAAAGAGCTTACTTGCAACATGGAGCTATTTATTATACAGTAACTCTAATAGCAAAGAGAAGGTTTAAACATTATATATTTTGAGATAAAGTATTTTTAGTAATTTGGAAATATTTGTATCACTTCTTGATCTTAGCATATAGAGTTCAGCATATTCTAAATTCATTGTCAAATCATTCCTTCCAAACAGCTTTATTTAAAAAGTGTAACAAGTGAGGCAAACAAGAGCATCACTGATTTAATTTAAGGAACACCACACATCCCAGGACCTCAGGAGAGAGGCAAAGAAGCTGTGACTGAAACCCCTGTCGGGTCACAGAAAGGTTTGCTCTCCACAGGGCTCACAGGAGCACAGCTGACAGCTACTGTTGCTCACTGATCACGTTCGCGCCTTTTCAGGTTCCAGCACTGTGCAATGAGAGTGGTGATTTTGGTCATGTACTGAGTACATGTGAATCTGACAGATGTTAAGTACACAGAGATTTTTAGAGATTAAAATTTAAAATAAGTGAAGAAAACCAGCAGAGATTATACATGACAGGAATTACATTTTAAAATATCTTGGTTCTAATTTTTGCCCCTTGTCCCCACCCTCCCTTCATCCCCTCTTCTCTTCCCTCTTTACAAACACTTTATTTCCATTTTTTGTCATTTTCTCATATTTTTTAATTTCTCTTATCATTTTCCCTTACCCTTCCCACTTACCCTACACATTTAGCTCTTTTCTTCCTATTTCACATGATCAATTATCTCATTAGGATCCTATGTAACATTATAGTTTATTCACACCAGAGAAACTATTCTGTATTTTCACATGTGTGACTTAATTTATTTCACTTAGGAGTATATCCTCAATATGTATCCATTTTCCTATGAATGAATCTAATTTCTCATTCTTTATGGCTGAGTAATACTCCATTTTATAGAAAAACCATATCTTCTTTATCCAGTTTCCACCTGATGGGAAAATAGGCTGTTTCAAAGTTTTAGTTATTGCAGACTGTGCCGCTATAAACATAGGTGTGCATATATCTCTGTGGTATGATTGTTTTAATTCTTTTGAAAAGATACCCAGAAGAGGGATGGCTGGGTCAAAAGGAACCTCCAGTCCAAGCTCCTTGAGGTATCTCATATTGATTTCCACAGTGGTTGCACCAGTCTGCACTTCCACCAACAATGGAGAAGGGTTCCTTTCACCCCACTACTCTGCCAACATTCGTTATTGTTTGATTTCTCTCATATTAAAAAGCTTTTGCACTTCAAAAGAACCCATCAATAGAACTAAGACACAACCGACAATGTGGGAAAAAATTGTTACCAGCTGCTCCTCAGACAAAGGACTATTATCTAGAATATATAAAGAACTCAAAACAATCAGCCCCCCAAATATAAAGACCCGATTTAATAATGGGCATTGGAAATGAACAGACATTTCTCAGACAAAGAAGTAAAAGCAGCAAGTAAATATATGAAAAAATGTTCCACGTCACTGGTCACTCGAGAGATGCAGGAGAAAGCAGCACTGAGATTCTACCTCAGCCCACAAGGATATATGTATTCTTAATGGAAATATTATAAGGCTGTAGTTCCTCTGATGATATTCATCAGTGTTTATTGTTATTTTCTGAAAAGTTTTACATCTAGTTTCTGATGAGAAAGATATGGGACTCCTAGACCTTTGCTTGCAGTAAATTCATGGAGGTTGAAATGCACCAGATGAGATACAGTGCTCTAAATCGGTTGCTGTTAATCTCTATAAACAGAATGATTTCTGGAAAATATAATGCTTGTTCATTTTAAAATTCTCTACCATTGAAGTACGCACAAATATTACATAAAAGAGTTTTATAATTGAAAGTTGTTTTGCATAATAATCACCTTTAAATCACAGGTTTTTTTAGATCATAGGCTTACAACTTAATTCAGACTACCAATTACAACATGAATTTGTAAAAACATGTCCTTGAAATTTCTATAATTTTCAAGGGCAAAAGAAGAGGAAAAAAATATCAGCTACTTACAGAAACAGACCAAAGAATTTCCCAGGAAAAAAGGAGGGGGGCAATTGTAAATGCTCAGCATTGCTGTTATTTTAATTGTCTAGAAGCATCTCTGTTCTGCAGGAATCTCAGGATTGCATTCTTCACGTCTTTGTTTCTGAGACTGTAGATGAGAGGGTTCAGCATGGGGATCACAATCGTGTAAAACACAGAAGCCACCTGATCCCTGCCCAAGGAGTAGGACGTCTTTGGTTTTAGGTAAGTAAAGATCATAGTGCTGTAGAAGATGGTGACTCCCAGGAGATGGGAGGCACAAGTGGAGAAGGCTTTTTTCTTTCCAGCAGTGGAATTAATTTTCAGGATAGTGGAGAGGATGGACAGATAGGATCCAGATACAGTGATGAGGGACAGAAGTAAAGTGGATCCAGCAGTAATGAATATAATGAGTTCAACCTCAGAAGTGTCACTGCAGGACAGGGCTAAAATGGGGGATGAGTCACAGAAAAAGTGCTGGATGACATTAGACTTGCAGAAATCCAGGCTGCTTATATAAACTGTAATCACTGTGGATTCGGTAAAACAAATCAGATAGGAACCATTGAGCAGAGTATGGCACAGTCTTGTGGACATAATGACTGGATAGTGGAGGGGGTTGCAGATAGCTACGTAGCGATCATAGGCCATGGAGGCGAGAAGGTAACATTTGGTGGCAACAAAAACTATAAAAAAGAACATCTGGGTGAAGCATCCTAGGAAGGAGATGCTCTTGGTAGAAGTCAGTAAGTTCTGTAAGGTTTTAGGGGTGATGACATTTGAGTAGCTGAGGTCAAGAAATGACAGGTGAGTGAGGAAAAAGTACATGGGGGTGTGCAGCTGGGGATCCAGGCGAATGATCAATATCATCCCCGAGTTCCCCAGCACCGTGATCAGGTAAATCAGGAGGAACAGCACGGAGAGGACCAGCTGTGTCTCTGCAGAGCCCATCAGCCCCATGAGGATGAAGCCAGGCACACTGGTGGAGTTCCTTCTACTCATGGTGCAAGGTTTTGAATTAGACAGAATTAAATTCCGTACTAAGCTTGAGTGACTAAAACAGGATTTATTTGTGTCAGTGCTCCACAATTTATTTTAATTAGTTTACTCTCCTAAAAACTGACCAAAACTTCCCTGCATATTGGTAAAAAATTCAAATGTGAGATATAGAAGGGTATGGTCTGAACTGACATTTGCTGGGGCATAGTAAAAGTTTCATCCCATAGAAATAGCTCGAATATAGTACATTGCAAATGTTTCCATATTAACACATTTAATCTTCATATGGATTTTATGCCACAGTCACTGTGATCCACACATTTTGTGATCACAAGAAAGGCACAGGAAAGAACTGTTGTGAAATCAGAGCACTTACTTATCACTGGAATTCTACTGAGATATTTTGCCTCCTGAGTGAATGATAAAGTTCTTTCTTCCTGTTTACAACTGGTTTTTGCAAACTTGAGTAAGATATGTAGTAACGTATGAGAAAAGTATCATCAGTTTACTTTTCATTCTCCTCCAGTCCCCAGTGATTTTCGGCATTAATTACAAAGGAATTTCACATTTCAGGAAACGCAGGTGAGGTCCTCTAGATTATACACTGCATACTATACAGAATTGCTGAACTGAGAGACTAAAATAACTTTTGAACACCAAGTTATTTTTAAACATGGCCTGCTGCTCTAGCTTTCTGTTGCAGACTCTTTATGCCCTTGGTCTCAGGCAGTCACTTTTCTCTAAGAGAGAAAAAAAAACAAAACAAAAAGCTAAGCTTCAAAGTTACATTTTGCAGTGCTGATCACAATTCTGTCATCTCTGTTACTTCTTTGAATATATTAATATTATTTTGATAAGTTTTCAATGTGTATGCATTCATACTCTTATGATAAATACCTATATTATTACACAATTGCTAAAACACTCCAATTTTAAGAATGGTACTTACTGTGAGTCAAGGTTGGTAAAAACAACTTTTTCTTACACTGTCTGTCTAGAAATTTGAAAATTCCATATTTCTTTCTGAAAGAAAATATAACAATGTAAGAACCTGTGACTTTTAGTGATAATTGCTTTCCTCGATCTAAATTACTTTTATATTTTTTATAACCACTGTTATATGTTTGTGCATTCCTCTTTATTAATTCTGAGGTAAATTTAGTCACCCTAACAGATTTCTTCAGGTCTTGATCAAATGGACACCTGAGAGGAAGTCTTGTCTGAGAAGAGTCCCAGCCAGCAAGTGTGGATTTAACCAGAACACCTTGCAACCTGCTCCCGCCAGGTCCCTCCAGGGCCCATCAAAGAGCACTCAGGTACCTGAAGCACGTGGTTGTCCTCTGGGCCCAAATCCCAGGATGAACACCGGGCATGGGGCCAAGGACTGATGTTCTAAGGGAAAATGAACAAAGGATTTCCCCTCTTCCCTAGGAAGTTTCACAGGAGAGGGGAAACACACTCCTTCCTGATAGAACACCCTGCAACCTGCTCCCCGCCGGGTCCCTACAGGGCCCATCAAAGAGCACTCAGGTACCTGAAGCACGTGGTTGTCCTCTGGGCCCGAATCCCAGGACTAACACTGGGCATGGGGCCAAGGACTGATGTTCTAAGGGAAGATGAACAAAGGATTTCCCCTCTTCCCTACGAAGTTTCACAGGAAAGGAGAAACACACTCCTTCCTGATACTCTAAGTTATAGCTAAACTTTATTTACCTACTTTTAATATGTCACATAATTATTTAAATTTGCAAATGATAATGATTACACCCAAGAGTGGTCTGTCAGCATTGTTTGGTTTTGTTTTGTTGTGTTGTGTCATTTTGTTGTTGTTTTTGACTAAGTGATTGTAAATGAAATTTCCAGGAACATATTTCTTTTATGACTGATATTGTCATGGATGGAATGATGAAATTTTCATCAGGAAAATCTTTGTAATTAAAAGCCTAATTCTGTTGCAAGAGCATGGCATCCAGGGTGAGCAGCCAGCCTGAGCTAAAACTCAGTACTAGTGAGGAATTAGTGGGAAGATGTTTAAGAAAGGAAGGTTGTTGTTGTTGTTGTTTTTTTTTTTTTTTGGTGAGAAATAAGAAACAAAAAGCAGACAGAAATAAACAGCCCTTTAGAGCACACAGAGTCTGGAAAAACATGGACAGGTGCATGCCTTTGTACCCAGCCTCTTTAATTGGGGTTAGGGACCCTCCCTCCTAGGCTAGGGCAGCTGGACAGATCACAGTTTGTTTCCTAGCCTGGCTTTGCCTGGATCTCACATCCCAGGATCCTAACCCTAACCCTTGCCTACCTGCTGTTGGGAGGCTTTGTTTGCTTTCTTCCTGCCCCTTCTGATGTATAAAAACGTGTGGGGTTGCAGGGAGCTCTTAGGGTTAGTGAGGGGATGTGTGTACCTGGTGAGGTAACAATGGCAACCCCAGGGAATACATATATGTTAGTATTTTATTAACTAAATGACTGCTTTCTCTTACTTTAAGTAGCTGCCCCATCCATGTTACCTGTGCATTTTATTTAAAGTGGAGGCTCGCCTGCTCCTCTTTCCTCCTGTGCCTGTCAGCACTTTCTCTGATCAGTCTCTTCCTTAGAGAGGATTCCGAACTTAGCTGTAAATTCTTCTCATTGCGCTATCTGGTGCCTTTCTAGATCTACTCTCTCTCTCCTTCTCTACCTGAGTCCTTTCAATCCCTCTAAGAGATTCCTCTGGAAAAGTTGTGATATTTCACCTCAAGGTTAGCCCATGAATCGGACTACAGAGGACAAAAGCACTCTAAGATTTCCGACTAATTTCTCTATTAAAGCCACATGCTGTGCTCACTTCGGCAGCATATACACTAAAAGCCGCATGCAGCCCTTCCTCCACTCTTTCCCTGCCTACAGACCTGAACACCCACAGGAGAGAATGAGAAGAGATGGAGTAAAAAACGACAAGGCAATACAATTGGAAAGTGAGAAAAATTATAGGCAATTTGAGCTCAATTACCAAATTATCAGCTATGTCTATCTGATAAATGACAGAAAACCACAGGAAACAAACAGCTATGAGAAAACCTAACCAACCAAAGTAACACCCTATATCAGCAAAAGCAATAGCTTTAATTCTTGCACAGTTACACACACACACACACACACACAAACACACACACACACACACACACACACTCTGATCTGGACTGGAGACTGGTGTTTCCCATAGAATTCCATGGTGGGACAGGGCCTCATAGAAGGAGCAACTCAGAAGTCACATTGTCTTTCCATGTGTCTCCTGCTGAGCCTCTGTTCTGGTGGGAGAGGCCATTTCTTGCAGTCTGTAGCTGAGCTCCGCCCTGCAGGGTCACCTCTGACCTCTGCCAGGATTTCCATCGAGGAGCCTGGAACACAGCTGCCCTCATCTCCTCTGCTCTTTGGATCCAGTGTGAGGGAAACCACGGTGTCTGCATAGTCTGTGCGAGGGTCACGACCATGGCCCCAGAGCCTCAATTCCCAGGCCAGCTCCCAGATGCTTGGATGCCCAGAGTCTGCGAGGTGCCCTGGTTACTCTGAAAGCCTCCTACAGATCAGTAGCCCACTAGATCAATTACGGTCATGTGATAACAGTATAAATGCTTTCCCCCTTGTCATAAAGTGAGTGAGCTTTAATTAAATTAAAATTAAAGAATTACTTTAATTAAATATTCTCTACAAAGTCATACATTCTATTAACATAAACTGATAAAATAAAAATGAATACAATATATTTTCTAAATCATAAAAATGGACATACGTAGAGATAAGGTAAAATTGTACCTTCAAAAACAACCAGAGAGGGGAAAGAGCCCCTGAATACATGAAATTACTAAAATACTTACCAATGAGAGAAGAGCCTGAAAAATATCCTCAAGAAAAATATTTATTATAGGGCCGGGGTTTAGCTCAGCTGTTCGGTGGCCTGCCTTGCAAGAGCAAGGACCCAAGTTCAATCCCCGGTAGCAAAAAAACAAAAAACAAAACAAAACAAAAATTTATTATAGACTCTTAGAAAAAGAAGAGAAAAAAAAACCCCAAAACCAAAGGTGCTACAAGGGAGGAAATTATAAAGATTAAGGCAGAAATCATTGCTTGGGAAACTAAGAAAATCATACCAAAAGATCAATGAATTGAAGAGCTGTTTTTTTTAAAGAATAAAGAAAAATATTTATTAAATTCTTAACCATGATAATAGAGAAAGACAAGAATAAATAAAAATATGGAATTAAGAAAATATACATATAAAAGGAAAAGAATTAATGACTTGAAACAAGATTAATATAAGAAGACATAATTTTGTCATTGATCTGAAAATTTTTGTAATATACTATTTTTTAAAATACTTCAAGTGAACTCAATAACAGTTTTAAATTATTAAAACACTGATAAAACTTAAGGCTTTAAGCAGAGATGTTGCACATTAGGCATCTACAAAATTGAAATATATGTTTTCAAAAAGCAACTTACGTTTTTTAAAAATAATTTTTACCATTGTATGTTTGGAGTATAACAATCATTATAATAAATGTTACACAAGATTTCAACAAAATAGCTTACTTATAATTTGTCATGCCTTTTGACTGACTTTTTATTTTATTTCAAATGTCATTTCCATACCTATGCATATCTTGAAGTAGATTTAGATATTGTGATGCATGAATATGAGACCAAGACTCAGACGTATTAACTTATCCATCAAACTACTCCTTTATTGTGTGTTTATGTTGAATGCATTGCTACTCATTTCATTTTTTCACAAATAGAACTTAATCTTTAAATTTAAAGGTCTCCAAGTGCTATGTTTATTATTTCATTCCCCCAACTTGACTCCAGGTAACTAACAAAACACGGTAACAACAAAAGTAGCAGCATTGCTTCTTACACAATTACACACTCAGACACTCACAGACATGCAATATTTTGGCCTCCTTGTGGGGGCATCTGGACTGGAGAGCAGTGTTCCCTGTAAATTCCACAGTGGGACAGGGCCTCATAGGAGGAGCAACACGGAAGTGACGTTGTCTTTCCCTGTGTCTCCTGCTCAGCCTCTGTCCAGGTGGGAGAGGCCATTTCCTGCAGTCTGGAGCTGAGCTCCACCCTCCAGGGTCACCTCTGTCCTCTGCCAGGTTTGCCCACGAGGAGCCTGGACCACAGCTGGCCTCATCCTCTCTGCTCTTGGGAGCCAGGGTGAGGGTAAATCACAGTGTCTGCATAATCTCTGCACAGGTTCCGACCATGGTCTCTGGGCCTGATTCCCTGGCCGAGCTCCTGGATGCTTGGATGCCCGGTATTTATGCGCTGTCCTGGTTACTCCAAGCCAACAATAGAACAATAGCCCACTAGATCATATTACGCTCATATAATAACTATATAAAATCTTTCCTCCCTATGTACTGATTAAGTGTTTTAGCTCTCACTCTGCACAGGTTCCGACCATGGTCTCTGGGCCTGATTCCCTGGCCGAGCTCCTGGATGCTTGGATGCCCGGTATTTATGCGCTGTCCTGGTTACTCCAAGCCAACAATAGAACAATAGCCCACTAGATCATATTACGCTCATATAATAACTATATAAAATCTTTCCTCCCTATGTACTGATTAAGTGTTTTAGCTCTCACAT